GCGGTGAGGGCGCGGGACGGGGGGGGCGCGCACGGCGGGGCCGGGCGCGGGGTCCGCGGGGCCCGGGGGACAGCCGGGCTCTGTGCCCGGGGGATGCCCACCGGGGATSAGCGGCTCCCCGCGGCCGCCCCGGTTCCACCCCATGCGGGAGATCCCCCGCCCCGGCCAGCGCTGCGGGAGAAGCCGCTGCAAGCGGAGCCGCTGCTCGCCGGGGTACCCGCCGTCTCACGGCTCCCTCTTACCCTTTGCAGCTGGAGGACGGGCTGGCCCTGCTGGAGAAGAGAGGAGAAGAGAGGAGCTTTCCTGCGGCCGCTGTCCCCTCTGTGCCCGGCAGCTCCAGGTCCCCGGAGGCCTCCGCACGTCGCCCGGCTGCCGCTCGTGCCACCCCGCATCGTGCCATGCTGCCCTGCCGCGCACACCCACCCCAGGTAACCACCGGCTGCTGCCCTGCAAAGGAGAGGGGGACGTGGGACATCCTGGGGCTCTCCAGTTCTGGCTGCACTGGGCTTTTGAAACCCCCCAGGGTGCTATCATTCACAGGGAAGACACTAATATTTGCTTGTTTGAGGATCTTCTTCCCTTCTGCTTCCTAATATGGGAAAGCTTTAGCCAAAGCGGCTGGGAACCTCCAGGAGTAATGAGCCAGCAAAGCAGAAAGAGCTGGGACAGCATTTACAGCTGAAGGAGGGAGCGGAGGGGCTGTGCGGGGGCACAGGGGAAGGATGTCCTGCTTCCCGGGAGCCAGGGGCAAGGGGAGGAGCGTGCGGTGCCTCTGGCCCCGCTGGCACTGTTGCTCTGCTATGGGGGAAAGCAGGAGGTTAAAGAATCAATTCATCCAAAACAATAACCAAAAATGAATAATTCTGTGACGCAACCGCCTCGTTGTTGCTTTCGGCCACCGACGCCGTGYGTTTCGCCGCAGTGGGTGCTCGCCCCGCTCTGCCTGCTGCTCGCCGAGCTCGGCGCCGCCTTCCCGCCCACCTACCAGTGGAAGGACGCGGTGACGGAGGCCAGGGTGACCTGCCAGCAGTGCCCGCCGGGCACCTTCGTGGCGCAGCACTGCAGCAGCGCGCGGCCCACGCTGTGCGCGCCCTGCCCCGAGCTGCACTACACGCAGTACTGGAACTACCTGGAGAAGTGCCGCTACTGCAACGTCATCTGCGAGGAGCAGCAGGTGGAGGTGCAGCAGTGCAACGCCACGCACAACCGCGTCTGCCAGTGCCGCCAGGGCTACTTCGCCGAGAACGAGTTCTGCGTCCGCCACTCCGAGTGCGCGCCCGGCTCCGGCGTGGCCAGCGCGGGTACGTACCCCTGCGCGCCGGCTTCCCGCAGCGATGCTGATGGTGGAAGTCAAAGCCTAGCAGAAAAGGAGCAGCTGCTGGTTTCCTGTAGCTCTGCTTATTCCCTCTGCTTATGGCCCATTTTTTYCCCAAAAACGGAAGGAATACAAATTCCTAATTCGTATTTTTGCCACTTTCCTTTGGCAAGAACCCCCCCATGCCTCAGCCTTGCTAAATCCTGGTGGCTTCGCTCGGCTTTGCTGGGCAGACCCGACCATTTGAGGAGATCATTCCATGTCCCAACTAGCAGGATGCCCCGACATCTGCTCCGAGCAAGTGGAGAAGCTTCGGGAGCTCCTCCTAGTTTGTCATCTCACTTACAGGGAGGCAGCCAAGATTTTGAGGTGGGGAAATGACAGTTCTCTGGACTGAAATGAATTGCTTATGATATGAGGGCAGAGGTGGGGAATGTGTATAGCCCCGGGGCTGGTTTAGATGTTTCATATTGTGCAATTCRGATAGGTTATATTTTAAAGAAAATCATATGCATGAATCTGACAGGTTGCAGAAGAGTTAGATCAGCCCTGCAAAGCCCTGGGGCCTGGGGAGGTCCGTGGGGCCGTGATGCTGTCCCAGTGGGAACCAGCACATTCCCGCACCGGGAAGGACCCCCGGTCTTTCCCCTTCTGGCAGTTGCACAATCGGTTCCGCTCCTCCATCCCCTGGTGTTCGYGCTCTCTAAAAATAGGGGCTGCGGGGAGCGCGTTTCCTCCTGAGCCCGCCCCGAGCCACTGCGGTGCGGGCTCCTCGGGGAAGCCGCAGCGGAGCAAAACGAAGCGGCCGCGGGAAGCAGCGGGTCCCGCCGGCCACGGGCACCCCGGGCACCACCCCGGGCTCGGGGCGGGCGGGAAGGAGCTCCYGCCTGCAGGCAGCTCTGCCAGCCCTGGATCTGCAGGAAACCCCTCGTACCGCACCCAGGGAGTCAGCAAAAGGTGAAGCAGGTTCCCAAACGGAGAGGGAAAAATCCCGCAGGATGGAAACGCCGCGTTTGCCCCGGGCAGTCCCGTGAGCGAGCTGGTCTGAGCACGGAAGCACAACTTTTATCTCATTTTATTTGTTTACTGCTCGACACGTGGCTGCTCGTGGGGACGCTGCTCACGGGGCCACTGGGTGCGAGCGCGGGCAGCAGCTCCCGTGGCTTCCAGCCTGGAGCAGTTTCCTCCAGGGATGCTTTTAGTTTCCCCTCTCCAAATACTGAACGTGTCGGAGCTCTGCTCTTCAAGTCACAGAAACAGGGTGCAAGCAGGTGAACCCCTCGCTCCAGCTGTAGGAAGGGGTGATGACGAGGGTCACCTGGTGGTGACAGGGCCCTTTCCTCCTCCCCCATGGGCACCACGGGCACCAGGACAGGACRGGGCTGCAGGGCCACGTTGGCTGGTGCCTGCTCTGGCCCCGAGCCCGTGGCTGGCGCTGGCAAGGCTGGATCAGGCACCGGAGCTTCTGCTTCCCTTGCCGGGAGCTGCAGCCRTGCGGGTCCCTGTCACCGGCGGGTGACACTCGCTGCACACGCCGAGGTGCGTCGGTGCCAAGCGCTTTGCAGCGCACGGGGAAAGGCTTGGAGRCGCCTCACTGCTCGCCATGCAGCTGAGCACACGATTTACAGGGTGCAGGGACACACAGGGGAGGTGACAATCTGCGAAACGTCCCCCTCACGCTCACACGGGCTCTGGTGCTGCTTGCTGAGCKCAACCCCCAGGCCGCTGGTTTGGGCTGGAGGGGCCGCGCTGACCCCCCTTGCCGTCCGCAGGGACCCCCGTGGAGGACACGCGGTGCCAGCCCTGCCCGCGCGGCTCCTTCTCGGCCTCGGCGTCCCGCAGCGAGCCCTGCCGGCCCCACCAGGACTGCGCGCGCCAGGGCAAGGTGACCAACGTGCCGGGCAACCAGTACCACGACACGCTCTGCACCTCGTGCGGGCTGGCCGGCGCCAACGGCTCGCGGGGCGCAGGTGAGAGCGGGGGGCACCCCCTGCGCGGGCGGCCAGCGCGGAGCCCCCGGTGGCTCCTCTCCTCCCTCCGGATCGCTGCTCCATCCTCCTCCCATCGCTGCTCCTCCAGCGCCGGCTCCGTGCCCGCTGTGCATGTGGAGCTGCCAGGGAATCCCCGGGACGTCCCGGAGCCGCTCRGATAGACGGGCACAGGCTGCTCTCCCGCTCAGTGATACCCGCTCGTGACGGGCAGCCCGACCYGGCACCATGGGGAGGTTTTCCTCCCACTCCCATTTTCAGCCTGGCTTTTTGGGAATGGTTTATTATTGCCCCCAAGGTGCATTGGAGCCACAGCAGAACCTGGATTTGGGTCCATTAGGTGGAAAAAGCCACAGGGGAGCCTGGGGCGCTGCAGCACGGGATGCAGTGCCGGGATCCACTGCCGTGGGAGCTGGGCGGGAGCTGGGAATGGCAGGGCGGGAGGGAGATACTGGAGCCGCCCGGCCACCAGCATCCCGGGCAATCCGGGCACGAGGGACCAGGTCTCCCCATGGAGAGACCAGCTCTCTCCAGCTCCAGCTGCTGCAGCCCGCAGCGGGGTGTGAGATGCGGGATGCTGTGCTGAGATGCAGGGTGCGGGATGCTGCAGTGGGATGCAGGGTGCGGGATGCTGTGGCAGGAAGCGGGATGCCCCTTGCAGGATGCTGTAGCAGGATGCAGGATGCCCTGGCAGGATACCCTGGCGGGATGAAGGCTGTCCTGGCAGGATGCAGGATACCCTCGCAGGATGCTCTCGCAGGATGCAGGATACCCTGGTGGGATGCAGGATACCCTGTCAGGATGCAGGATGCCCTGGTGGGATGCAGGA